GGGAGATGGGTATATTGCTCTTTACTGTAGCAATAAGCTATCATTTTCTATCAGGGCAATGTTTCACTTAGGTCAAATAACAGCAAGCATTTTAGAAAAGAGTTTAACAAAATATATTGTAGCGGCTTCAGTTAAATGACGAACATTGAGGGTGGACAGGGAGGGGAACTCCAGTCTAGAGGCTTTCCTTTTACACCTAGTCCTGGAGGGGAAGGTGCCCTCCCCCTCCCCTTTCCACCCCGCGGCGTCACATGGCCTCCAGAGACCAGGATGCCAGGAGCAGGCAGGGAGAGCAGGCAGAGAGAGTTTTATTTTTCTGGTAATTGCTTAAATAGCTTTTGGGGGGATCACAATGTGACCAGTGGGAGTTCAGGAGGTCTTACAAACCAACCAATTACAAGAAAGGGTTAACAACCAATAGATTGTTATCTCTTAGACATTCCAAAGGTACAGGTAAGGGATCTTGGGAAAGAGAAAGGTTTACACCAAGAGTTACACCACCATTTTGGAAGCATGTTCCCTTTAACAACATTAAAACTTCTGCATTCTTTTATAGACTGCAACAGTTAAAGTGTCCAATCCAGAAGTTTAAAATGAGGGTATAAACTGATGACCAGATGGCAACAGTCACCCCACTGACTAGTACTGCACTTTTATGCCTTCTACAGCACTATTTATATTGGTGACAGAGTACGATAGCGGACATACCATTGCTTTTCTCTAATCATTGGAGCTTCATATTCCGATTAGCTAAAGGTCTACTGTGCTGTGTTTAATTCTAGAGATGTATGCCAACATGTAAAGTAGTGAGAATATGTCAACTCAGTTCCCTAGCACAGACTTCTTCTGTAAAGTTTTCGATACTGTCTCTCACAGTATCTTCCTGAACAAAATGTCCAGCATATGGCTGGATAAACACATCATGCAGTGGGTGGGCAGTTGGCTCACGGGTCAAGCACAGAGGGTAATAGTAAATGGGGTAACATCAGACTGATGACCTGGCACTAATGGGGTTCCACAGAGCTCCATCTTGGGCTGTGTGCTCTTCAGTATCTTCATAAATTACTTGCATACAGGATTGAAAGGGATACTAAGCAAGTTTGCAAATGACAAAAAACTGTGAGGAGCTGTTGACCCCTTTGAAGGCAGGGAGGCCGCGCAGAGACCCCTTGACAAATTATGAAGTTCAACAAGGGAAAGTGCCAGATTCTCCACCTGGAATGGGGCAGCCCCAGATGTTCAGACCAACTGGGGAATGAGATGCAGAAAAGCAGTGTCATGGAAAAGGACCTGAGGGTCCTGGTTGACAGCAAGCCAAACATGACTCAGCAGCGCCCTGGCAGCCAGGAGGGCCAACCATGACCTCAGGGTATCAGGCAAAGCTTCACCAGCCAGTCAAGGGAGGGGATTGCCCTGCTCTGCTCTGCACTAGTGCAGCCTCACCTTGAGTATTATGGCAGTTTCGGTCACTGCAATATGAGAAAGATATCAAGCTGTCAGAGAGTGTCCAAAAGAGGGCAATGAAGATGGTGAAGGGCCTTGAGGGGAAACTGTATGAGGAGCAGCTGAGGTCACTTGATCTGTTGAGCCTGGAGGAGACTGAGGGGAGACCTCATTGCAGTTACAACTTCCTTATGAGGGGAAGAGGAAGGGCAGGCACTGATCTCTTCTCTTGGGTGACCAGTGACAGGACCTGAGGGAATGGCCCGAAGTTGTTTCAGGGGAGGTTTAGTTTGTATATAAGAAAAAAGTTCTTCCCCCAGAGGGTGGTTGGGCATGGGAATAGCCTCCCCAGGGAAGTGGTCACAATGTTGAGCCTGAAAAAGTTCAAGAAGCACTTGGATAATACTCTCAGGCACATGGTGTGACTTCTGGGGACGGTCCTGGGCAGGGCCAAGAATTGGACTCAATTATCCTTGTGGTTCTCTTCCAACTCAGCATATTCTGTGATTCAAGCAGTTACTACCTCATCCAACTGATGGATTGCAGCACTTGTGTAAACATGTGATTACATTTTTTCTTGTATATTCCTTGAGATCTTTTAAGTAATTTCAAAATATTTCAGATATTAAGGATAATTATTGGTATCCCTTAGAAAGAATCATTCACAAATGGGGGTAACCATACATGTGTTTGTATAAATACTTTGATATATGTACATCATTGTGCATATATATGTTGCATATATGTGTAGCATGTAAGATAGTACATTCAAGGTGCTTTGAAAGCCCTGCTTTGGCAAAAATGTTTCTAAGAACAGGAGAGAACTTAAGAAGGCTCATTCTCCATCTAAGTTTGTGATGCATAAATTCAAACAATGTCCACATTTTGGGCCATAACATTCCCATTTTCCTGAGATTATGTGACCAATACATATGCTCTTTCATGATTCAGATCTAAAATGGAGAAACACCTGAAATCTACTGGGCAGCCTGAGCAAGACTCATGCTAGAGAAAACCTCACACACACAGACAGGACCAATTTCATCACTAAACTCAGCAACCACAGACACGCTGTTTAAGAACTCGGGACTCTTTTTGGTGCCCACAGTTTGGCACAGTGTTCTCCTGGTTAGTTATACTCCTTGCAGAGAAAGCTGGAGATCCATGTTCAGCATCCTCCTGCCCTCAGGACAGACCTAAGTACTCAGCATGTTCTTGCCCAAAATAAGCTGTATATAGGTCTTGCAAAAATTGCTCAAGTTTCATGGGGGAGTGGGCATGAAAGAGAATCAGACCTGTCCCTACCCTTACCATTTGCTATTGGCACAGTAAAGGCGGTTTCCACTGAGAATTATGTGACTTGGACTGCCTTTTGGAAGCATCTCCACTGACTGTAAGCAGAACTGATGTGCTTAATTCCATATCATGCTTTTAGGTCAGTTGGTCTGTGATGTCTAAATGAGACACAAAAAATAAGGCATGCAAATCTGGCCCTTTGGGCACTAGTTTAGAAGCAGAGCCAAACTTCTTCAAAACTTCTCATCTAAGTTTGCTTCTGGCCTCAGCTTTTGCTTTCATTTTAGAGTAAAAAGAAATTCTATATACATTTTCTGAACTTTATTCGGGAGGATTAGGATGCAAATATATACTTAGGACGCGTATAAATAATCGAATAAATTATAGCTCCACTAAACTAACTAAAAGATCATGATACCATGATTTATTACAGTTAAGATTAAGATCAAATGAAAAAATCAACAGGTTCAAATATTCAGCTCTCCACATTGCAGGTAATCAAAATAAATTATGAGACTGGCATAAGAAGCAATTACTTTCTGACAGTCTTGTTGTGAAAAATTTTATGGAGACGTGTCTGGTTTAGTGTAAAACCCAAACTTAGTTTCTTGCCTTGATTTAACTCATAAAGTCATGTAAGTCTGTAGCCTACTTGTGCCTTCCTCCTAAGCAGCCATTCTGGTTTTTGTTATTTGCAAAAGAAATCATGCAGTGTGTCTGCTTTGCAGTTCTCGCTGAGGAACAGCTTCCCATCCCAACACCTCCATCAGTTGTGCTTCTGTGACTATTCTTTTCTGCTCAGTAACCCAGAGCCTATCTATCAGCTTCTAGGAAGACACTGCTTCAACCACCTTTAAGAGCAGCTTTGGAATAAAAGAACTCTTTAATAGAAGAAAATCCATGATTGAAATTGATAGGAAGCTTTAGGAAAGTTTTTGTCTTAGGATACTGTGCAAACACAGCTTTCTACGTACACACAGGTGTGCATATGCTCTTAAAAACTGTGGAAAAAAATACCAACAAAAAATAAAAGCATCTCTTCAAAGGCAAAGATTAGCTTCAGCTTCATTCTTCAGTAGTTTTAACTAATACAGCTGTTGTTTTTTGCATAGTCTTGGAACATTTTTGATGATTCTGGACCTCTCGCTACAAGAAAGACACTGAGGTGCTGGAGTGAGTCCAGAGAATAGGGACAAGAGGACACAACCTCAAGCTGTGCTAGGGAAGGTTCAGATTAGACATCAGGAAGAATTTCTTCACAGAAAGGGTTATTAAGCATTGGAATGACTGCCCATGGTGGTGGAGTCACCATCCCTGGAGGTAGAAAGAACTGGACATAGTGCCATGGTCAAGTTGACAAGGTGGGGATCTGTCAAAGGTTAGACTTGGTGATTCTAGAGGTCTTTTCCAACCTAAATGATTCTATGATTTCAAGAATTGTGGGATATTAGCAATTAGTCATCTATAAGGGAAAAAATTTAGGTGTAGGCAGAAATCTCCACCCCATTCTGCTTTTCAGTAATTAATGGAATTAACTGCATGGGTTATAAGTGCTTCCAAAGCAAATGGAATATCTGAAGACTTTTATCAGGAAAGCATATCTTTAAACTTCTAGAGGAGGTAATGGACATGAGACCCATAATTAGCAAAATTTGTCCTATTCATCTATTTTAAATTGTTTAAGACATTGTGTTAATTCATGAAACCTTTGCATTCCAATACCTTCAGTGATTATTTATGGCTTTTCTGCATAAGGCATGGGTATCTTTTATAGATTTAAAACTAAAACTGATGATTTTGACTCAAAATGCAAGGTCTTTCCTAATTAATTGGAAAAACGGAGTTCTTATAACAATTAAATAAAGAATGTATTTTGAACTTGGATCCTAAGACCATGTTAATTAATTAATTGTTTGCGTAATAGTTGCGAAACACAGAAGGAACATGATCTTTTAAGGTAAAATCATGTTTTAATATATAGCACTGTACCTGTATTTTATGAACACTTAAAAGCTCTAGCATATCCAAAAGCAGCAACATTTTAAGTAGCTAAAAATGCAAAATTATTATTTTAACATAGACATTATTTATATATGTCTATATTGGTTTAATTTCATTTATTTCAGTAGAGCTCAGTCAGAAATATATTTAGCCATATATTACTTTCTACTCAAGTCTTTTCAAGTTGAAACTGTTCAGTTCTTTGACAACATATGTGTTATGGTGGGTGTTTTTCCTTTTCTTTTGCTTGATTTTTCAAGGAAAGTACAGGAAACTGCAAATGTTTCATTTGCCAATCCATTGTACCAAGACTTTAATTCATCTGAGAAAGTACAGGTAAGTAGCAATAACTGCTTCTATACATTCAGAAAAGTGTGAGTTTGTAGTCCTCTAACAGCTTTCCATTGAAACAAACAGTGTAATGCCTCACTGAATGTTATTTAATAAAAGAAGTGAGAATTAAAAATTGACGCAGCTCTCACTGCATTTTCAAAACATAGGAAGATTTGACATCAGATGAGTTTTGAAAACATCTCAATATTTATAACTTTTATGAATGTGGGCTGTTGATTTGGAAAGAAAAAAAAAGAGTTTTGGATTAAATATTTAGCCACACATAGATAAGCTCACTGGGACTTGTTTCCTTTTCCTTTAGAAAAAAAAAACCAAACACAAACACAAACAAACAAACAAACAACAAAACAAAAAACCCCACCCAGCGAAGCAAATGCCCAACAACAGAAACACACCACCAACAATAAAACCACAAAATGCATGATTCGGCATTCAAGCTGCCTTTACACACTCACTATAGCAAAACAGTTTATAATACTTCCCAATACCTTAAATGTGCATCACAATTCCCGTCACTATAAAATTCATGTTGACACTAAACAAACACTAGGTCATACATTTCTATAATATATTTTGTTGATCATAATTAAGAGACTACTAGAGTAACAAAAAAGCTTTTCCATAAAATACATATCTAAAAGTGAACATATTACAGCAAAAAATTTCAAGGCAATATTTTATTATCAAATTACAATATCTAAAATTTACGGGTTTACATTTAACAAAAGAAATATGATCACTTAAAATGCAGATACCTGCAATAATTTTGTTTATAATTTTGTTTATAATTAAAAATAAAATAGACAAAGCATCCTGGAGTAAAAAGCAGGAAAAAAAATATTTAAAATATCCTTTCTGCCCTCATTTTGATACTACTCCTACTAGCATTGTAAGAACTAGGCTTGGTTTAAAATAGAAAATAAAACTTCCTAGTCCTTTGCACAGTCAATAATCAAGATTCCACTGTGGCTTTGAATAGGATTAACTATGACATGCCATTTACTTTCTATAAAAGGGTCCTTACACCTGATTTTAGACATTAGATCAAATGAATTCACTTATAGGTTGGAGTTTGTGAGAGCTCCAAGTTGGAAACGTTCCCATCACAATCATGTCCAATTTATCAGGACATTTTTATTTTAGTTAAAATAGATTCCTGACAGGCTTCATTTAATAACAAGTTGAAAAACAGAAGTGCAGCTTCAGGAGAGACATTTTCATGGAAGACAGCCCCAGGCATTGTGATTGAAGTCCTGTTCTGTATTAGATTCTCCTCTATTTTCTTTAGGACTGGAAAAATACATGTTTACACTAATTTTTCCTTTTGAAAGGAAAACAGGAGTTATGAATTTCCTCCAAGTCTGATGAGACTCAAATCTGAATGGTATACCAGCAGTCAAAAGATATGACAAAACATGGGCAAAAGCTCTTATGTCCAGATGAATACCCACAAGTTATTGTGGGAGTCTCCAAGTTTCATAAAGAAAGAGCAATCCTCCTAGACCTTTCTGAACACCAAAACCATGTGGGGCTTAGCACTGCCACACTCTTGCCTATAGTATTGCCTTGTAATTTTGAATCCAAAGAATGTGTTATTCAGGCAGCAACACGGAAAAATATTTTCAGAATATTATTTGCAGCTCACTAAAAATATTCTGAAGCAGTTTTTTTCTTTTTATAGTCTCCTGGGTATGCCACCTCACCTGCTGTTCAAATCAGTGTTTCTCCATGGCATGAGGTATGTAATAACACATTTCTGGGGTATGTGTTGAGCTAGTAAATGAAATTCATATGCAGAGGAAAGGGAAAAATGTCACTTAAAATCAATGGTGTATTGCTACTCATAATGTTAGCAACTCTGGAAATCTGAGAAAGAGGATGAGGGTCAGATTGGTTGGTAAAGACCCCAGAATTGCAATTTTATTAATGTTGCTTATCATAGATACTGTTACACTATACAGTAATTCAACATGTTCCAGTATAGGTAGATGCTAAACAAAATTTTTAGAACTACTCCAAAGGGATCATATTACCTCTTTTCTCATACATTCCTCATTCAAGAATATTAGAACCAGTTATTTAAATTACAATACCTTTTACCAAAATTAGTGGCCCACTGCAACTACACTTCTATACACAGATTCTCGTAAAATAATACTATATGTCTATTAGAGCAAGGGCTCTGGAGACATGAAAAAAGGTGGAAACATGTAGAAGAAGGTTAAATTACTTTACCAGGTATACGTGGCAGACAATTTTTTCAGTGCAGCTATGCTTATTTTAATCAAATGAAAGTCTAGTCTAAAAATGTTTAGAAATTTTCAACTTATCATCATATGTTACTTCTATCATGAATCTATAGCCATTCAATGTGCATTTTAACAAATGAATTACTTGGATTTTAAATTTTATTCTATCTTTTTTATTTTAGTATCTGTTTAATGAAGATGTGAATGCTACTTCTTTTCCAAATCCTCTCTATGGTGTAGCATCAGAAGACATGGAGAAATTGTGTAGTTCCTTGAAAACATAAACAAAATCCAGGATGAATATTGATTGTAACTCTTTGCCTGAAAATTGTTTCTAAAAAAAATTGAAAGTATGTCATGATACTGTAGTGTTTGCAATATGGATGAATAACCCTTCACAGAATAATTCTTTTATTAAAATAATTACGTTCAGAAAATAACTTTATATTAAAAATGGAATCCATATATAAGTAAAACATAATTACATATAGTCTTCTGTTATTTCTATTGGTGGAGAAAGAGATTGATAATTATAACTATGAATTCCTTTTACATTTGTGCATTTTAAATACCAGTATGTTAATAAAATGCTTACTCAAATCCAGATTCTTGAGGTTTGGGAATCATAATTTTATGTCTGTTATTTGAAGAATGATGACTTAAATATTTCTGCAATTTTACATTAGAAAGGGATTTTAACTGACTCTTTTAGTGTTCCAAGAAGTAGAAGTAAAAGAAATTGTATAATTAGAAACATATCAAGCTAAATCACCAGTGGTCATGAATCATGGATTTGCATATCAGCTCATCATGTGATTCATCAATGTGACATACCAGTACATACATTTATTAAAAAAAATATGTTTATTATTAACCTTGATAACTATATCTTACCAAATTTCCCTCTGGTCATCTCTGCAGTTCTGCAGTTCTTACTACAGTGCTATTGATAAATTTAGCTTAGTGGTTGACAGAGGGTGGAAACTAGCATGTTTAGGAAACCATATTTCTGCCGAAGAGGTTGGCCTCCCACACAGCTGAAACTTATGCTGGCCTGTGCCTACGTGAGAAAAATATTGGGAAGGAATTCTGGATTGCCTCGTGATTTTGATTGTCATCCTCTGTGGTACCAGGCATATCTTGTAACATGTTTACACTTTAAATAACCTGACAATTTGTCATCTTCTATAATGCCCACTTGCATTATAAGATCATCATTTTTAGCTTAAAGGCTTAAGTGTTCCTGCTGTGCTTGTGATTTCTTCCCTTACTGTATTTCCACAGCGTGCTTAATTTTAAACCCATTGACATGTTTCAAAGTTACTAAACTCCTACAAATTTCATAAAAACAGACATCTGCAGTAGATGGTATCTCTTCATTCAGGGAAAGCTGAATTGCTTGATATTTATTAGGCTTCTGAGACTTCAGATAGAAAAGCACATTAAAGCCTGGCTTCATTCCATCATGCACAGGTCTTACTGGTTTGGGTTTGGGTTTGTTTTGGTTTTCTTTCACTTTTCTTCATAGCATAACCACAGTCTATACCTTTCTATATATCTATATATCTTTGTACTTGGGGCCACAAAACTACTTTTTGACTTATTTTTTTGTTGTTTCATGGGAAGCAGAAGTAAAAAAGCGTGATGTTTGCCTATCATTTTCTTGTACCTTTTTAGCATTATTCTCATAAGTACATCTCTGCTGCATTGTAAAACCTTCTGTTTCACTTTCCCCTATCTTCTGTAATCCATTGTAGTATCTTCAGTTGTTCCCCAAACTTCACAGCCCACCCAAAAACTTTGTCTCTTGAGCTTGCTTCCTTAATGTGCTCTGAGTACAAACTGAAAAAGAAGCATTGATCACTGTAGGCCCAGAGCTATCTGTGTGCTGAGCAGCTGCTGCACATGTGGCTGCTTGACTGGTTGGCAGCACAGGCGACAAAAACTCTTGCTGCAACTGCTCCTTCTCTGTGTCCTGAATTTGTACAGCTGTCACCTGCCCCACTGCTGCTTTAATGAAGCCAACCGGAGCTTCACATCTTTTCTACACACACCTGTCCTAATGCCAAGTTTAGTTGAAAGTTACCAAATGTTATTCATTAAGTTTTTAAATAAGGAACTGTGACAAGAGCTGTTTCCTTTCTTTCTCACATGCTGTTTTCTTTGTGAAACAGAAACATAGAATTTTCTTACTATACTTATACCAGTTAGGACACAGAGAATACACTTGATCCAGCAAAGCACCAACTTTGCCAACTCCAGCTCCCAAACTCTGGAATTTTGATAAATCTCTGTGAGATGATTGATCTCTGTGTTATAAACAGGCATTGAACACTCACACAAGGTCAAGTCTATGTATTTAAATTCTCGTTTGTTCTGCAACACACTAGCACTGCTTGCAGAATTTGATTAAACACTAAAATGCCAGTTATGCTATAGTTCTTAAATCTTCATTCATTGTGTCACACTATTTATATCTGTAAAAAAATACAATAATTAAAAGGATAAGATTAATAATGGCAGAACTTTATCTCATTCTCCCTTATGAAACAAAATATATTTATTTTACTAATAATGGTACTCGTATTTTAATGTCCCAAATAAAAGCATATGATTATAAAGAATTATTGTAAAAGAACTCATATAACATCATATTACTCATCAGTAATTATCTCCTAAGAGAGAACTCTCCTGCATTGTAGCTAAAGCAAGGCAGGCTTTTCATCAAGATAATTTTCCATTTTTATAACTGACAGAATGTTTATAAAGAAGGTGTTAAAATTCAGACTTTTAAACTTCATGAACTTCAATATTTTTTATTCTTATTATTTCATCAAGAACAAAAGACCTAATTATATTCACTCTTTGGTTATTGTCTCATCAGACTAATGGCTCCAGATTGAAATTTTTAAGCCAAAAATATGCTTTTTGTTTAATTTACTTTTTTGTTTAATTTTCTGAAACTTTTCAGTACTTTAAACCAAATGCATAGAATTCATATTTTCAGTTATCCCTGCCAAAATTTCAATTTCAAAATCTAAAGAACAGAATATATGAAATATATATATACATGAAATATATGGGATATTAATATACAGGAAAAAAATATTGTTAAATCTTTCTACATAGGTTTCTTACTTCTCCCAATTAATAATAACCCTTGACTAAATACCCTCTGTAACCTTATGCTGCTATTGTAATAAATTCTAAGTAATAAAAATAAATTGTTTCCAAGTGACCTGTTTTCTGGGAATAAATTAGAAGATGGATACTGTATACAGATGATAAATACTGTAGTTGGGCTGGTTAAAATATATTTGTACATTAATGATCCAAGGTAACAGCAGAAATAAATTACAAGACAAAACTTTTAACAGAACCTAATACCACCTTCAGTGTGGTCCTTATGCTCTTCTCAGAGTTGTTTTGCTCCTCATAGTCATAAAGAATACAAGCAAGTCTCTTGGTTTTGGCTAATCTTCATTTTATTACAGGATATATTTATGATGCATATCAGCAATCCTTTCACACACAGATCTTGTCTCAGAAAGAGTCCCTGTATTTACAGTTTGTTCTAATACTTGCCTTGACATCTGCTGCTGATACTACTCCACAATTTTGGAAGAAGTGTTGAAAGGGAGCAAGATCTTGTCTTCTGTATACAAAACTTTAAGTACAAAACTGTGGCTGTGTACCCTCCCCTTGGCAATACTGAGGGGCTCAGGCCTTGCTCAGAGCTCCCCTTTGGGTTCAGTGCTTGCACTGTTGCCACTGTACCAATGTTTCATATGTTACTCCAGGTCTCCATGTTTTCCTGCATCTGCTGGTCATTACAATGGAGATGCCCATGGATTAATCCAGGTGTTTGTTGATGAGACTTTCTCTGATCCTGTCCATGTTCCAACAGCAATAGCCTCATGAATATGCAGATCATAAAATTGATCAATCACATGATCTAATTTTGAAGTTATTCTGGTTTTGAGCTAGTGGATGGGTTAGGTGGCATCCAGAAGTCCTTTTTGGCCTCAGTGTTCTTGTAGTTCTATGATTCCACGGTGTTGGTGGTATCCAGTTCCTCCTTGACATCATTGCCCTCATTAAGTTCTGCCTCCAGCTTGTGGAATGCATTTGTCTGCTGACATAACTCTGAGGCCAAAGGTAACCTCAACTCCCCCTTAAAGTTTGTTCATTATTTGCTCAGCTGTGGCTGAGGCCTCAGGCACAACTTTTGATTTTTCATTACCTACTTCTGTATCTGACACAGCTGGAGGTAGGCTCCTGGATTACTTAGAGCTTTGATCTGATCTCCTGCATCTTAATCAGACATGCTGCCCTATATAAACATTGGAACCACCTAAAAAATGCCCATTTTTTGTAACCATCAAAGTGGCAGTGGTTAAATTAATCTTGTCTAGATGCCTCTAGATGACATCTAGATAGATGCCTACCCTAGAATGCAGTAAAAGGAAATCTAGCAGCTCCTAATTCTTTCTGTTGACTGTAAAGTCTAGACATTATATCTGCAATGAAAATGTTCAGAATTAACAATCTGATTCCCATTCTTATTGTTTTAATTAACTCCAAATTTCACTAATGTATATATGTGATATGAAGATTGTCATTGGATAATCTTCCTTACAAGAGTACACAAAAATTCCCTCTTATACACTGACGGATTCCAGACCTCTCTCTCTGTTCGTATGAATTAGACAGAAAGAGCTTAATATATACATGTAACTTACAGTAATGCATCTGTCAAAAACTGGCATCTTCTGTCTTTCATTTTCAGTTTGTGTGTGGGAAGAGAGGGAGAAGGCAGGGAGAGAATTCAGATATAAGTTAGCAAAAACGGAAGTTTCATAAGTAGAAAAATCTATTGTGGTCTCTATTGCTCTATGTAGATGACAACAGGTGAGAACTCAGGCACCTGACACAGAACAATATTCTCTGCTTAGTACTTAAAGACAACCAAGGTACCAGTCTGTTACTAAGACTTGTGAATAGGAAGTTATTCTCCACTGTGTGAGGCTGAAGAAGTACAAAGTGTGACAAAGGAGAGAAACACAATACTAAGAACACACATAGTAGCAACATTTCAAACTGTTCCTAGACTGTTACCACTTCATTGACTGTAGCTTTATATTGTAGTCCCTTTGTATTTGAAAGCAGGTATGCAGCTGACCAGAAGGGTGGCTTGAATGTGCGTGTTCCTGCAGCAGCCATCTACATATCTTCAAAAACGTCAGGGAAGTTTATATTCACATCTGGATTTTAATTCACCATCTGTAGCTATAACCATTCTTAGGGACATACTTCATGCTATAAATAAAAAAAGGCTCAAAAAGAAAAGGTGCATTTTTCTACAGGATATTTAGTATGTTACAACTAAGATATGATAAATTTAGGCCATGTTAGTCTTGGTGGGTTTGCATTTCACTTACATGGTGATACTCAAGGTGAATCTCAAAGGTGGGCAGGAAGAACAGAACATAGCCGAAGACACACCA